GGGGAACATCCAAAAGCCCCTTTATATGGGATAACATTTTTTTGGGGAAACCATGACACAAAAATAAATAATTTTAGATCTTTAAAAACACTGATTGCGAAAAGATTTAAGAGTCCTGGTTACAATAATCAAAAAAAAAGACAAAAAGTCAAAAAGTGTTCCCAATAAAGCAATAAATCCCCTTTTGCTTATATCAAGAACAAAAATAATAAGGAAAATCCCCCAGGTATTCTTTTTAGCTCAAAATATCCTTTGGGTTTGGCCTCATTTTAATTATCTGCTTTATTTTTGGTTTACCGTATTACAGAATGGATATAAATGCTCTGGGAAAAAGTACAGAGGGGGAAAAAGAAAAAAGTTTTATCCCAAGTAAACAGAAAACTTCCCATGAGGGTAACTGAGGGCCCCGAATCTGCAAAACTCTAAAAGGCTAGAATTATGGGGAATGATTGGGGGTGAAAAAATGGAAGACAGGAATTAATTAAAGGGGGGTGTAAATAGGCGGCTAAAAATATCTAGGACTCCCTAGGGTATAAGTTTTTCCCAAATTGGAAAATTTAGATTTATAAAAGAATAGAAACATGGTTTTTGGGAAAAGAGGTTTTTTTGGGTGAGGAACAAAATCCCGAGTACAGTTTTAAAAAAGCTAAAACTTGTGGGTTTTTTTAATAATAAGGTTTTGATAAATACAAAGAGTGGGTGTGGGTGAGTGGGGGGAGTTGGGCCCGACTAGCTTGGGGCCCGTAGCTGGGCCAGGAAAAAACCCCTGGGTTCAAAAACCAAACACACACGCTTTAGAAAACCAGGAAAACACCCCGCTTCAGAACACCAGGAAACGCCCCACGGGTTCAGAACACCAAACCCCACGCTTTTAAAACCAAAAAAGAGAACACACGCTTCAGAACACCAAGAAAACACACACGGGTTTAGAAAAACCCAAAAAAACACACAAACCCTTTAGAACACCAAAAACACACACGCTTTAAAACACCGGGTTTATCCCCAAAAAATGAAATTCAAAGTCCCCCCACTACTGTTTTTGCAACTTGTGCTCCAAAGCACCCCCCCAGCTTCCCGACTGGGGAAAAGGACAGAGGGGCAGGGTTCCCAGGGGGCCTGCAATGTACTCCACAGCTCCGGGAAATCCCCATTTAAACCAAACCCTCCCGAACCCAGGTAAATCGCCCGAGCTCCAGTTTCCCGGGGCCCACCCCCCTTTTATTTCCTGCCAAAGGGGCCCCTCCCCCGTAGGGAAAGCTGCAGTGCTCCTTTCCCTTTTTATGTTTTTTAAAACTCATTTTTCAAACGCGAACCCAGGGGAACCCCCACACCCCAAACCCCCACCCCTACCCCAGTTTTATCCGAGTCTTCATGTCAACTTTTCCCAAATTTCATAATTTTCTTTTTTCAAACGTTAAAAACTTTTAATTTTTAAAACAGATACATACAATTTAAAAAGGACGGAAAAGCCCCACAAAAACTCACAAACATAAAATTAACGATTTTGTAGGCCCCGGACAGTTGTCCCGGAATGTAATTGGAAATTGAATTTTTTTTTCACAAGAAGCAACACGGGGGGAACTGGAACACCAAAAAAGGGACACTGGAACAGGGAAAGAAACCCGGGTTTTAGCGCAAACGCAGGTAAAAGTTCCCTCTGTTTGGTAATCAAAAAAATACCGGAAAGTTTTAAGATTTAAAAAACAATTTCAACAGTTTTGGGATCTTTATTTTTTTAAAGGGGTTTTGACTATACCGTAAAACGGGTTTTAGTCAAATACGAGGCAGCAGTTCCATGGAGGGTGAAAATCTTCCCGGCGAGGGGCTGAAACCCCTCAAATTAAAAAAAAAAAAACAAAGGGTTTAAAGGACTAAATTTCATCATTTCTGTTTCAGACCTGCTCCCACTTTATTTTTACGAAGAAACCCGCTGTGTTTGGCGAAACGTTTTTATCGGGAAAAATACCCCAAATGTTTGCACAATTTTTTTAAATTAACCCTTTTCCCGAAAACCTAAAAAACAAGTGGTTTGTGCTGTAAATAAAACCCCCAAATTCTAAGAGAACAAACTTTTGTGTACTTTGACCCTTTCAGTGCCAATTTTAAAAAAACAAATAAGGGCTGTACCCCTATTATGCCCCCAAGTACACAAAAAAAAAGTAAATGGGAAACCCGCTGGGAAATTTTCAAAAAAGGGCCCCTGGAAATTTCCCCTGACTTTAAAATATTCCCGTCATTTTTTCCCGAGTGAAATTATCTCTAAAATTGGGGTCAACCTAACAAGGGTTCTACGGAAAAGGTACACGATTCCCCCCTAACCGGGTTTTTCCCTATTGTTCTTTTTTTTTTTAATGTTTAATTTAATATAGCCAATACCATTTTTATTCTGAAAAATTTTTCTGAAAGGGGTGGATAAAAAGGTTTTTTTTTGGGTTTGAAATCGATTCATACTTATGAGGTAGTTCGAAGGTTTTTTTCCTGGGCCCTTTTAGTTTTGACCTCGTTTGGGGAAGCAAAGGTTTCCTTTTTTTGTCCTTCTTTTTGACCTCGATGGGGGTAGTTCAAGGTTTTTCCTTTTCCCTCTTTTTTGGGCCTCGAGGGTAGCAAGTTTTTCCCGGTCCCTCATTTTTTGACCTCGATGGGTGTATTTAAGGTTCTTCCTGGCCCCTGTTTTGACCTCGATGGGTAGTTAAGGGTTTTTCCGGCCCCCCGTTTTTTCCTCGAGGTGGTGTTTTGAAGATCTTCCTGGTCCCCTTTTGTTTTGACCTCGATTTTTGTAATTCGAAAATTTTTTCCTGGTCCCCTGTTTTGAACCTCGAAGGGGTGTAGTTCAAAGGCCTCCTGGGGGCCTTCTGGGTTTTGACCTCCCATGGTTAGTTCAAAAGGCCTTCCCCCGTTCCCATTTTTGACCCCCATGGTGTAGTTTCCCAAGAATTCCTTTCCCGGTCCTTTTTGTTTTGACCCCCGATGGGTAGTTCAAGGGTTTTTTCCTGGGCCCTCGTTTTTTACCTCGAAGGTGTATTCAAAAGGGTTTTTCCTGGTCCCTCCCTTTTTGAAATCGATGGGGTAGTTCAAAAGGGTTTTTCCTGGTTTCCCTTTTGTTTTTGACCCGATGGTGTAGTTTAAAGGGCCTTCCTGGTCCCTTCCCCCCGTTTTTTACCCCGATGGTGAAGTTCAAAGGGCCCCCTTTCCCGGTTCCCCTCGTTTTTTACCTCGAAAAGGGTTTGTTCAAAGGTTTCCCTTCCTGGGGCCCTCTTTTTTGGGGCCGCGATGGGGGAATTTTAAAGGTCCCTTCCCGGGCCCCTGTTTTGACCCCGAATGGGTTTTTTAAAAGGGCCCTTTCCCCGGTCCTTCTGTTTTGACCTCGATGGTGTATTTCAAAGGGGCTTCCTGGGCCCCCCCTTTTTTTTGGGCCTCGATGGGGGTAGGTTTAAAAAGGGCCTTCCCTGGGCCCTCTTTTTTGGGCCTTTGGGGGTGGGAGTTTTAAAGGGCCTTTCCCCCTCCCTCTTTTTTGACCTTCGATGGTTGATTCGAAAATTCTTCCTGGGCCCCCCTGTTTTGGAAACCCCGGGGTGGGGTAGTTCGAAGATTCTTCCCTGGTTCCCCCCCCTTTGGGACCTCGAAAGGGGTTAAAATTTTTAAAAGGGTTCCCCCGGTTTTCCCCCGGTTTTTTTCCCCGATGGGGTAGTTCGAAGATTCTTCCCGGTCCCTCTGTTTTTTTACCTCGATGGTGAAATTCGAAATTCTTCCTTTTGGCCCCCCGTTTTGACCTCGATGGTGGGAGTTCAAAGGTCCTTCCCGGGGGCCCTTTTGGTTTTTACCTCGAATGGGGGGTTCAAAGGTCCTTCCCGGTCCCCCTGTTTTTTTACCCTCCCCTTGGGGTTTGGGGGGGAGTGCGCCCTGTTAAGTCTCTGCTCCCCCCCAGGGGCGGGGATGAGGAGGCCCCTGACGGGGAAAAGGGCATCACTGCCTCCAGTAAGAATACCTTTCCGGGGGAGGTGCAACGAGACTTCCCAACGAAGGTTTTTGGGCCCCCGGGTTGGGAAATTTGGGCGCCAGAAAATTTTTCAAACATCGCCACCTCTAAACCCCCAAAAAGAGGTTTTGGGAAAAGGGGTTGGGGGAGTTTAACTTGAACATTTGGCAAATTTTTTTTTAAGGGAACATGAATGGTATAAAAATACCAACAAATAACAAAGGTGCTCTTTTACCCCAACTTCTTTCCCTTTCACTGTGTTTTTAGCAAAGGGGCCTCCCCCTGCTATAGCAAAAACCTTTAAATTGGGTATAGCAAGAGCCCACCTGCTATAGCAAGGGGCCTTTTCCTGCTATAGAAGAGCCCCCACCTCTATACAGGAGCCTCACCTGCATAGGGGGAGCCTCATCTGGGTAAAAGCCCGGGCCTTACCTGCTATACAGGAGGGCCCCAACCTCATAGCAGGAGCCTCATCTGCCCAATAGCAAAAGGCGCCCAAACCCTTATAGCAAGAGCCTTACCCTCTAACCAAGAGCCTCACCTGCTAAACAAAAGCCTTTTCCTGTATACAAGAGCCCCACCTTTTATAGCAGGAAACCCCACCTGCTAACAGGGGCCCATCTGCTTTTAGCAGGAGCCCCCCCCCGCTATAAACCCAAAGCCTTTCCTCTATAGCAAAAGCCTCCACCTTCCATAGCAGGGCCCTTTCCTTTCTAAAACAAGGCCCTCACCTGGTATAGCTATCTATAAAAAACAAAGGTAAATTTAACCCCGAGGTTGAAAAAACTATTTACCTCATATTTTTTTTAAATGGTTCTAAGTTGTTCCCCAAATTTTTTCCCCAAAAATTTTTCTTCATAAATACCAAAAATTCGCCGATTGTTAAAACTGTTTTTTCTTTATTGCAAAATTTTACGTTTCTCACACGACCTCATCGAAATTTCAGTAAAAATTTCACTGGGGCCCGTGCAAGGGAGATGGGGAAATAACGGGTGAATACAGAGGGGAACCCACACTCGAAGTTCTAACAAGGGTTCTGTGTGTTCTCGAACCCTAGGTGACGTTCTATAACTTGAACCTGATGGCGCAGAAGGTGCAGCTGTCTGGGGAAGACATGGGTGCCAAGTATGGGTACAGTCTTGCTGCAGGTGACCTAGACGCTGACGGTGCCCATGACCTGGTAGTGGGCGCCCCACTGGCTCCAGGGCAACTTGGTGCCCCTGATGCTGGCAAGATATATGTATACTACGCTCCTCTTAAAGAGGTGTGTGAGTGCATGTGTGTGTGTGTGTGTGTGTGTGTGTGTGTGTGTGTGTGTGTGTGTGTGTGTGTGTGTGTGTGTGTACTCACCTATTTGTACTCACCTATTTGTGGTTGCAGGGGTCGAGTCTTAGCTCCTGGCCCCGCCTCTTCACCGGTTGCTACTGGGCCCTCTCTCTCCCCGCTCCATGAGCTTTATCAAACCTCGTCTTAAAACTGTGTATGGTTCCTGCCTCCACTATGTCATTTTCTAGGCTATTCCACTGCCTTACAACTCTATGACTGAAGAAATACTTCCTAATATCTCTCTGACTCATTTGTGTCTTCAACTTCCAATTGTGGCATGTGTGTGTGTGTGTGTGTGTGTGTGTGTGTGTGTGTGTGTGTGTGTGTGTGTGTGCGTGTGTGTGTGTGTGTGTGTGTGTGTGTGTGGTGTGTGTGTGTGTGTGTGTGTGTGCAAGAATTACTAACTGACCTTGACCTTGCCCAGCATGTGTCACGCGCCACACTGATCCTACGAGGTCAACACTCCTGGGGTCATTTTGGACTAGCAGTGACCTGCCCTGGCGACCTGAACCAGGATGGCTATGAAGGTAATGTTGACCTGTCTCACAGGTAACTGAAATAAACATTAGTTATCTTACAGTAAACACATCATCACACAGACTCCGTGTGTCTAATTTACCAACTTGTCGGTTCTCTGAACCATTTATCAACACAGACGTGGTAGTTGGGGCACCAGAGGCAGCTGGTACAGCTGGTATCATCTACGTCTACAACGGTGGTGCAGATGGCCTCACACCTCACCCAACACAGGTACAGTCACAGTGACTCTGTAATACTGTATCAGGTCTGTGTAATACCAAAGTCTTTGTATTTACCAGTGGTTGCTTAATATCAATGAGCTGTTGATGATAATGGTGCCTTTGTATAAAATATTAGATGATACAGGGGGTATTAGATGATACAGAGAAGTTTTAGATGATACAGGGAATCCACAAGCTACTGGATCAACTTCTATAATTCTCTTGTAACTTCATTAACATCCACCTCCACTAATATCCACCCACTGCCTCATCCACACACATACTGTAGTGATGTACTACTCACACGTCTGTACATCGTTCAGTAATATACTACTACTACTACTACTACTACTACTACTACTACTACTACTAATAATAATAATAATAATAATAATAATAATAATAATTGTCACTGCAGGTGATCAGAGGTGGTGACATCCCTGGTGGTGTTAGTGGCCTGGGCTTCAGCTTGTCCACTGGCTTGGATATAGACCTGAATGGGTACCCGGACCTGGTGGCCGGGTCAGCCCTCTCTGACACTGCTGTTGTTATCAGGTCAGTCAGCTGCTGACATCACTACCGTTGTTATCAGATCAGCCGCTGACACAACAGTCAGGGTTGACATAACATTACACAAGCGTATAGATAACAACCTTACTCCGTAATATTACGCAATATTACGCTAGTAATACTGCTATCTACATCCTGACTACGCACGTCAGGACGTGAGGTTGCCTCACTGGCTGACATTGGTGGTCCAGGAGCTGTAATACTCGGAAAGCGTTCTTGATCCAGGGGAAATGCAGCTGGTGTTTACTTAGGATAGCGAGTAATTTACCGTTCATGCCCCCAGGTACTGCGCGACCCCCTGCAGGTTTAGCCCTCTCCCCGTGAAAATGGTATACCGACAAGTTGAAGATTAAGACACATGCAACAGTTGGGTATCTTTATTGATGAAATGTGTCACCTACACAGTAGATTTCTTCAGTCAAAAAAGGTATTTGAAGTGGTCAGTCCCTCAGTCTGGAGGCTGAGGGACTGTGTAGGTGAAACTGTTCCATATGTATCTTAACCTTCACCCCAGGGTACACCCTGAGGCGCACCCTGTGGTGCACCCTGGGGTGCACCCTGGGAAGGAGAGGCAGCAGGAGGTACCCAGGGACCGTGATGAGGCAGCAGGAGGTACCCAGGGACCGTGATGAGGCAGCAGGAGGTACCCAGGGACCATGATGAGGCAGCAGGGGGTATCCAGGGACCATGATGAGGCAGCAGGAGGTACCTAGGGACCATGATGAGGCAGCAGGAGGTACCCAGGGACCATGATGAGGCAGCAGGAGGTACCCAGGGACCGTGATGAGGCAGTAGTGGGTTTAAGTTGGACAAATTTAGATTCAGAAAGAATATAGAAATGTGCTGCTTTGGCAGTAGAGTTGTAGATGAGAGGAATACACTCCCAGGTATCGTCATTGAAGGGAAAATATTGGGTACCTTAATTAAAAAATAGGTTGGATGGGTACATGAGTGCATGTGTGTGTGTGTGTGTGTGTGTGTGTGTGTGTGTGTGTTAAACCTACCTAATCATAGGCCAGTAGGCCTTCTGCAGAGTTCCTGCATTTTTGGTGGATCAGACCCTGTCCACCACGAGGCCTAGTCTCAAACCGAGGCGCGGGGACGTTGGCCCCCGAAATCCTCTCCAGGTATACTCCAGGAATACGTCTGTGTGTACCACTGTGTTGCGAATAAGAAATTTTTTAAAGAACTTCAGAATGGCCTATTACCATTTATTTCTTATGCAACAAGATTTTTGGATCCGAGTTATTTAAAGGTCTTTTAGAGTCTAGGGGAAATAATTTCAACTGGGAAACTCCATAGAATAATATTCAAATTTATTAAAGTATTTAAATACAATACTTTATCTTCTCTTTGTAGTTAATGTAACTTAATACTTTGTACAATAAATTTAACATATACATTTAGTTCAAAATCATGGAAATGTCACATTAATAAGGAAGCTTAATTATTCTTCCTGTAATTA